GTAGAGGATAGTAAACGAGAGTTGATTGGGGAAAGAGTAAAAAAAAGAAATTATTAAAAGTAAAATATCGCAATCTCGAAAGACTTAGTTTATAAAATTATAATTAAACAAAAATAGTACAAATTAAAAGAATAACGTTGAAAACTACAAAAAAAAAATGTAAAATTAAAAAATTTAATAAACCACGCCAAACTTAGGAAAATATAAAAGCGTTGTAAAAATAATGTTTGGGTAAAACTCGGATGAATTGGTTAAAAATTTAAAGTTTAAAATCAGTGAAGTTCAGAAGAGGAAGAAACAAACAAAAGATTGGAAGTGAATCACTAAAAAATAAGAGGTGAAACATGAAAAATCCAAAAATATTAAAGCAAAGCAATTAATAAACAATACAACAAGAAAAATTGAAAGCATTAAAAATAAATACAAGTCATTTTTAAGCAAAAAATGCAACCGACGTCAAAGCTCATATAAAAATTTAGAAGCACAGAATTAGTATGGTGCCACCCCCTATACAAAAATAATCGAAAACGGTCCAGTGGTCCAAAGTTATTCGGTTACATACCTAAAAAATAAATCCGAGCCTTTCTGCTTTTTATGAAGTCGGTTAAAAATAAAGCAATAAAAATGATTACAAAATTAATAAAAAATAAAGCCAGAAAAAGATAAAAAATAAGTTATATGAAAAATTCAAAAAATTAATAAAATGAATAAAAAATTTATTTAGATAAAACAAATAAAAAGGGAAAAACACACGTAGGTATCAAAAACGAAAAAAATAATGAATATAAAAAAAACAATACTAAATGAAAAATATTGAATAAAAAAACTTAAAAATTGTGTTTTACAAAATTATCGTTTAAAAGTGAATCTGGCATATTTAAATTTAAATTTTGTTTTATTATAAAGAATTGGTTCGAAGTGAAAAATACGAATTCATATGTTTTGTGGAAGTGGAAAATTCCAATCTATATTTTTTATACAAAAAATATATATGTATATTATTTGTGCTTTTGTGTTGCGTTTATTTTATATTTGCATTTTATTTTCATTTGCATATTATTTGTTCTTTGGTGATTTTAGCTGTATGGTAGACAAACATGAAATCCATAGAGCTTTATTACCAAAAACCAAATGATTTTTGCGTTTTCAGTTCAAATGCATTCAATTAAGTTTTTAAGTTTTCTTTCGCAAGAGTGTTTTGTGTATCGTAAGCATGCGTTTTTTTGTTTTAAGTGTAATTTTTCTTAACAAATAATTTATGAACTCTTCTGCACTTCATCACACAACTAATTTTTGCTTTACACATCTTCTCTTTCACCAGAACACTCGCACGATCTCGTCGACTCGGCGGCCACACTCGACATCCACTCGCCGAAAGCCAAACGACCGCGCCAACATTCAAGCAACCATCGACTCAACAATCACTTTGTCGACGATACAATATCGCGCAATTATTGTTCACAACCCATGCCCCAGATACCTATAGATCTGACGGATGTGTGCAGTGCACCTCGTGGCGCCAAACACAACAACGACGCCGCACATGAAGCACGCTTTAATTTCTGTTTCTCACAACCTGCCCTGCTGGACGATCTGTTGGTATGCACCCAAATGAATCAAACACAATCGGCTTCGCAGAATGTCTTTCATCGTTTGGTGCGTCGCATGACACGCTTCTTTGTTACCACGCGCTGGGATGCAACCATCAAGCGGCTGGTGTCGGCCATCGAACGCTTGGGTTTCGCCTGCAAAGTGGGCGATGGTGGTGTAGTTACCATATCGACAATTGATCGGCGGAAACTGCGTCTCGTATTCAAGGCGTACATTATTGAGATGGACGGGAAGATTTTGGTGGATTTCCGTCTATCGAAAGGCTGTGGTTTAGAATTCAAGCGCCGCTTTATTAAAATTAAGGAAGCGCTGGAGGATATCGTGCTGAGAGGACCGACAACGTGGCCCATTGCGATTGCAACGAATGCTGTGCCTTGAAGGAGCTTGTAGCTGGTTGCCTGGCGGATGATAATACAAAAAATGCGTAGCACGTTTTTTTTTTTTACTTTCTACTGAAGCTGGAAGGAGTAGCAACAACCATCTTTAAATTTAATTTATTAGTAATAATTTTGTACTTTAATCCAAAGTCATCTTGCTATACGAATGTGTTTACAAAGAAAATATGTATTCTATAAACGCTTTTTATTTTAGTGTTATAGCTGCTTATCGATTATTATTATTGTTTTACTATTCATATTTTCATTAATCTTCATATTTACATAGTTTTAGTTAATGACTTAGTTATATTCGGGCTGTATTAATTTATTAAAAGAAAAGAGAAAAACGACAAATGTTTGTATTTATACACATTTAAAAAAAGAATATTAGTTAAATAGAAGAAAAATACACGAAAAAGTAAGTGCTAAAATAAATAAATATTATTTGTAAATACGATTGTAATTTTAATGGGTTTCTCTACGAAGACGATATGTTCGAGCAAAGTAATAATTACCGCAATATTGCTACCTTGTTGTTTTCTAGATGCGCTGTTGCTGATTCTCAATTGGAAATCTACTGAAATGTCAAAATGGCGGATTGTCAAACTCGTTCCTTAAACGGCTGATTTAAAAATTAGCATTGCAGCTCGAACACACCCAAACTGTCTAGAATTATAGCTATCTCTATAAAAGGGCACTTAAGTTCTCGATATTGAGAAAAAGGTAAAATAGCTGATCGTATTCTAACCTTGATTTACAATTGGTTTCTAATGCCTAGTGTTCTTCTAATCATTATCCCAATCGAATTCACATGTACATAGTGCTTTAACTTGATTTTCGATTCGAAAAACATTAGAAAAGTACATTAGAATATAATAAACAGACGCAAGATTCATATTTGGGCAACTTTGCGCAGTGTGTTTCACGAGGGGCAATTTTAAATTTTGTGTAATTTTTGACATTTAATTATTTGAGAAATTATAAATTAAATAGATGCAGAATTTAAACTCAAATTTAATTCTTACCTCAGTATTTCGGAAATTAAAGTGAAAGTAAAAAAATTAACTGATTGAGGGTTGCACAGCACACTTCGCAAATTTTCGCAACAAAATGCAAAACCAAGGCAACTTATGAGTTGCATTCGATCTTCGACTGTGGTCGAATTTACTGATCGAACGAATTTTCATTTGGAATTATGACGCTCATTCGATGAAGAATGAATTTCGCTCGTTTAGGTTGTTCACAATAGTATATTTTTGACCGCTGAGAAGCTTTCTTAACTAAATGCATAGTGTGCATATATGTATGTAAATTTGAGCAAATTGAAATGAAGTAAAAAAGAAAGCGATTTTATAAAAACTTGGTAAAAATGAGTTCAACGGAATTATGGTTCGACTAATCGTCAGAGAATGAGAGCTTAGTGGAACTGGCCAGGAGTAGAAAACGTTTTAGAGAGTTAAAGTGTATCCCTTCGAATATATTTTGACTTACAATATATTTAGGAATTTTCTCTACAGATTTATTAAAAACTTTCCACAGTCTAAATAGGCGTGAAATTAAAAAAAAAAAAACTTAAAATTAGTGTCTAGCCGCCAAAAAGTATGAAAACAAACGCAAAGTCATACATTTCTCACAATTTTCTCATACTTCGCTACAGCACGATTTGTAAAATAATAGCTAGAAAAAATACCGCCTATCGAGTCAATGCCTTCAAAGAAAAGTAGTTTTTTCTCTTCTGTAACATTTGAGTGCCGTAAAATAAGCGGTTTTGCAAAGAATCGACGGTATGTATATACATATATGGGGTCTAAACATTATCACACCCCAGTTCAAAAGAGGCTCAACTCAAAAATCGAATTCGGTAATATAAATGCAGTGTGACGTTTTCGTGTTCAAACAACCTCCACTGCATCGAACATGTTTTTGAAATTCTGACCATACGCTCATTTTCTCCACATTTTGACCTCCAATGCATTAAATTCATAAAGTTTCTTGCATTTATCGAGGTTGTACTCATCTTTGGGGTATAAAACACCGAAGTTTTCAAAAACAGATTTTTTTTAATAAAACGACTCTGATGAGTTATGTTCATTTCGATGAATGGAATATAGAATGAAATTCTATAGTAATCTTCAACGCTCCAAGTTTCGAAGCAGCATTTATTTCTTTGGGGTTTTTTTATGCATGATTTCGTCTTTCGAGTGAACAGGTACGATCCGTCACTCGTTCACGACTGCCACCGTACCGAATTGCGAGACAATCAGCACGTCTGTTATAATCCGAAATATGCATTTTTACGTGACGAGTTGTTCGTTCACGTCTGTCAATATTCGAGCCAAGGCGAATCTATACATTTTCGCCGCGGTACTTCCTAATGTCAAAATGATGTGTTTGTTGTAAACAAGGCGAATTCATAATACAACAAACACATCATTTTGACATTAAGAAGTACCGCGGCGAAAATCTAAATTCGCCATCAACACCACCTTGTATAAATTCTAGCCCTAACCGCCAAAATAACGTAAGCGACATTTTTTTTCAAAATTTTCTTATTGATGCAGAAATATTCCTCGACTATCTAGATACATTTTTGCATAAAAAAAAAAATTTTGAAATAAATGTCGCTTACGTTGTTTTGGCAGTTAGGGCTCGATATTTATATATATCTATACATATAAATATATATATCTATACATACATATATTATCGTTTTAGTGCCTTCTTTTGCCCTTTCTGCAATTTCAAGTGCCTTTTTCTGCCTTTCGCTATTTTATTTCCCCTTTTTTAATAGATTTTTAGGTCCTAAAAATCCGTTCGCTCGTAATTAGCCTTTTTTCCCCCATATAAATGCCTAATTATGATTAAGTTCCGTTTTTTCTTTCATTTCAAATAATTTTGACCGGTTTTACTATGCAAATACTCCTCTGTGCGTTGGCGAAAAGATTTACATAATTTCTTATACATTATAATTTATAAATAATCTTATAATTTATAAATAATTGCAAATTAAAATGAACAAAAAACTTTTTAACAAAACTTGTTTTAAAATTTCCCGTTAGATGCAATTTATTTAACCTAAATTTTACTTTTCGTAGCCCCTTCCCCGCTGTATCCGCCACTGGCCGAATTTGTCTGGGACCTTGTACTCCCATCATGGAACCGGGTTTTGTCAAAATAACTGGAACTCTCATCGTTCGTTGCAATTACCGCTGTACATCAGTCTCTTTAAAGAATTAGCAAAATGTAATTTAAAGTCTAATTTCGGCATTGAGTGACATTTTTAACTAATGGACAGCGGAGGGAAGAATTAATGTTTCTAATAGCTACAAGGTTTGTTTAGGAGGATACGTACGGGCTTAGTGATTCCATCTTTTCTTTTGAGGGTGTTACAAAATGGATTTCACTGGGTTTAGTAAAAAAAATCTGTTATCAATACACACAAATTTTCAGTTGGACTTATCGATATGTTAAAAATAAAAATCTACATACATAACGTCACTTGAAATGCAAAAAGACGTAACAACATCGTAAATGAAATGGAAAAAGCCGTGATTAATATTTTATTTTTATTTTTCATAAAATGGTGTGGGGAGTTGTAATTCTATGAAATCCATCATATAAATCAAAAAGTGAATTTTGAATTTTTTGTTAGTTATGACTTTTTGGATTTCAACGATGATGTTTGTTACGCCTTTTTGCATTTCAGCTGACGATAAGCATTTATTATTCTCCTCAGCAGCGTACAGGTTTAATAATTATTATAATCAACACATACTAGACATACATAAATCTAATTCAATTCAAGGTCTAACCCGAAATTAAATTACTGCAAATTTTCCTATTAGTAATATCTGCTTGCACATACATACATATGTACGTAAATGATGTTGGATGTACGTAATATGTTTACTAGACGTTATGCGAGGGGAGACAATAAATAAAAAAAAATTCCATATACATACATACACACCTAACATAAATGCGTGAAGCATCACGTGTTGCGTTTGTATTAGGGATGTTAATCTCTGTCTTTTTTAAGTCCCGAAAATCCCGGAATTATTTGCCAAGAATCCCGTGATTTTCGGGACTTATAATCTGCACTGGGGGCAAAATAATAGAAACGCCGTATGGTGACCAGTTTTGGCTATGTTTCTTTGGTTTATTTAATATTTAATATTTTTTTATAAATGTCTAGCTCATTATACATATAACACGGTGAGATAGGCGAAAAAAGTACAAAAAAGTAGTGGAAGAAATGGAGAGATCACTTGAAGATCTCCAAATTAATTTTAGGTTTGAATAACCTTTGGTCAAGTGTAAGGCCCCTGTCCAATCCGACGAAGCGCGATGCGGCAGTGTGGAAATCCCATTCCGTGATTGCGCCACATCGGACCCACGACAGTCGGGTATACGTAACCGGAACGGCCCAGATTTATATCTGGTCAAGGACTGTCACTCCAGCAACACTACCTAAAAACTCTTTGTGGGATTTGGTACAACAACAACAACAATTGGAGTTCAACCATTACCCCTCCTGTTACAGGTCTAATAAAAATTTTGTAACCGGTAAATAAAGTTCCTGTGAATTTTTAAACCCTTTTCGCATTCTGTGTACTCTTGTACAAGAACTGGTAACAGTTTTTGGTAATACAATTTTCCGGTTACATAATCTGCGGTAACATTCAGAATAGACCTGTTAGTCGAAAAGCTTAAGCAGCATCGAAAGACTCGGGGTAACTCTTTCGCAGTTAAGGTCTGGATATTAAAACAAACTCAACTCTTACTTATCCGGAATCGACCGCGACTTGTGCAATACATGTCCAAACTGACAAGGTTGAGAAGGTACCCCTCAATGACACCAACCAGCTCCTCACGACGAAACAGCAACTTTCTAGGGCTTGAACCGCAGCTAAAATGATTAGTTAATTAGCCGATTTATACTACAACAATAAAATTTGGTCGTTTAATGCCTAGTGGAAATCCGACATAAGCATTGAGCAAGTTCAAGGTTTTTAAAAAATTTATTTAAATTGCATACAAATAAATTCAAGCCATTTGTTTTTCTGCAATCTTTATTTGAATAATAGTTTCAGATTGATTTTTATTATATTGAACCACAAGCATAAAATCGAAACCAATAACACACTTTTTCTTGCTCTATTTCTAAATGTTATGCCAACTAAACTTTGACGTTTTTCATAACCGTAAGCTAGTCAGCTAAATACAAACGCCCTTCTCAGCGTCGGTCTGATGTTAATGTGCGTTTTTCAATACAACACTAATTCTCAACAATTATTTATATTGTTTTTTTTTTTAGCAAACGTTAATTTTTCGTAAAACTCTCAATAATAAGCCATGTAGATACTTGATATTTAAATAATAGCAGCAGCATAGCTGGCATACTAATATGAAGATATTCAAAACAATCATTTATTTCATATGTTTTTGGTATTTAATTTTTAATTTGTTTATGCTATTTTATTTACCAAAATGAAATCATGAAATGATAATAATGATCTAAAGTAGTTTTATATAAAAAGAACAATTAAGTGATTAAAAGTTCTGCATATAATTTAAATAAAATTTTAAATTGTATTTTATATGTATGTATGTGTATTTAAAGTAGAATAAGAGAACCAAAGTAATTTCAGTGCACAAAATTTAATTAACATTTGTTATTGATAAATAGTAGGTAGGTGGCTGATATACATTTACATCGGTAGGTACTAGGTTTTTCGTGTATTTTATTCTAGTGATTAAGCTCAACTTAATTGGCCACTTCCATCTACTAGTATGTCCTCTCTACTTGCACGTTGGAATCATTATTCATTTCTCGCCACTATTTAAAGTACACATTTACTGTGGCTTTCTGAAGCTTTTGCCAGCAAACTTCGCCTTGTCGCCCAACTCTTCTTCGATGCGAAGAATTTGATTGTATTTGGCCAAACGTTCGGAACGGCATGGAGCACCAGTCTTAATTTGTCCAGTTGACAAACCAACAACGAGATCGGCAATGAAAGTATCTTCAGTCTCACCAGAACGATGCGACACCATGGTACCCCAGCCGTTGCTCTTGGCCAACAAATGGGCCTTGATTGATTCCGTTACGGTACCGATTTGGTTGACCTTCAACAACAAGCAGTTGCAAGCCTTCTTTTCTACGGCAGTCTGGATACGCTTGGGGTTGGTCACGGTCAAATCATCACCGACAATTTGGATTTGAGTGTTGGCAGTAATGGTGGACCAGGCATCCCAATGATCCTGATCGAAGGGATCCTCAATGGAAGAAATGGGGAACTCCTTGATGAATTCCTGATACAAGTTGGTGAGCTTTTCGGGCGACAGCCATTGTGATTTGTCGCTGTTGGGGTTCTTGAAGTCCAAATCGTACAGACCGTCTTTGTGGAATTCAGAAGCGGCAACATCCATGCCGATTTCGACCTATAGGTGGAAGGAATGAAGAATTTAAAATAGATATGCATGAATATTTGGATTTTTTCTCTCATAGAATATGCACAAGTAATCTATTAATTAATAGTTATACAAAAAATTTTATTATAATTTTCTTCTCCTTCCCCACAACTCACCTTGCCGGTGTAGCCACCCTTTGCTATGGCATCCTGGATCAACACCAAGGCTTCCTTGTTCGACTGAATATTGGGTGCGAAACCACCCTCATCACCCACAGCGGTGGCATCTAAACCAAATTTGTCCTTGATGACCTTCTTTAAGTGATGATACACTTCAGAGCCGATTTTCATGGCTTCAGTGAAGCTGGTAGCGCCAGTTGGCAAGATCATGAATTCCTGCATGGCCAATTTGTTGCCAGCATGACTGCCACCGTTGATTACGTTGAATGCAGGCACAGGCAGAATGATGTCCTTGTTACCAGCCAAGTCAGCAATGTGCTGGTACAGTGGTACACCCTTCTTGGCGGCGCCAGCCTTGCAGACAGCCAATGAGATACCCAAAATGGCATTGGCACCGAATTTCGACTTGTTTTCAGTACCGTCCAATTTCAACATGAAATTGTCGATGCCTTCCTGATCGGTAACCTCAAGGTTAGCCTTCAACAATTCAGGCCCCAGAGTCTTGTTTACATGATCAACAGCTTTGGTTACAGCCTTGCCATGGTAGCTGTTCTTGTCGTTATCGCGCAATTCGAGTGCCTCATGCACGCCGGTGGATGCACCGGAGGGTACAGCGGCACGGAATAGACCCAACTCAGTGGTCAAATCAACCTCGACGGTGGGGTTACCACGTGAGTCGAAGATTTGACGGGCGAAAATTGACTTGATAGGCATATCTGATCTGTTTGAGAAATAAAATAGATATAAGAGAAAGAGAAATTTAAAATATAAATAAAATTTTATAATGATTTAATGATTAAGTTCTATTTGTTTATCATTTATTTATTTATTTAATTACAAATATGTACGTATATGTACAAATGCAGTAACAAATCATACTTTTGTACATTGTTACATACATACATACTTGCATGCATACCTATATACATGTGTACATATGTGTTTCTTTTGAAAATATTTAATTGCTAATAATGCGTTAATTTATTCTTAATTAATTTGATATATTTATTTTTGTTTGCTTGCTACTTTTACATATATGTACATACATACTTAAGTCTCAGCTAAATTCCCTCTTGTTTTTTTATTAATTTCTGTGGAAACTTTTCTCTCACCGCATACCTATGACCTCTACGCAGCCATTAAAGGTCATAGCGGCATAATAAGGAAATATTGCAGTAATAAGCGAAATTCATACTGAATTCGCAAATACTCAACTTCTTTTATGATAATCAAGTTTATTGGCCCCTAAATTATGTCCAAATGGCAGCGGAAAATTATGATTAAAATAAAAAATCTAAAATTTGTACACGACCACCGGGTAAATTATTATCTAACTGCATTCTCCGCCATTAAAAATCGAATCATACTTTTACTAAATTCATATGTGCGTACAATTTCGATTACACTTTATCGCAAATGCATTTGTTTATAATTTTGTTCGAATTGCAAAGAAGTATTGCACCAAAAAAAATAATAATAATGCACACCTAAAATTAAAGCACTTACTTAAAGCGTTTAATTAACAAGAAATGTAATCCAAACGGAGACGGAACTCTGGCACCAAAATTCACCAACGGCGATTGTGGAGCAACTGACAGCGAGTGTTGAGCGAAAAGCGCGATGGTGCGAGCAGTCGTTGCTACTTTCGTGGAGCACGACCACAGCAACATTTTAACACAATTTGCTTTTTTTCTTTGGTATTTCGTGCAAAGCTTTTATTTCCTATTCTTTTTGTTGTTGGTTGTTGTTCGCAGTCGCAATTGCAAAAGGCAAAACTGTTCGTATCCGTTGCCGTCGCCAGCTATGTACATTTTGCGAAAACGAATACGCTTCTTTCTACCTGCTAAGTACGTGTGTGGATTTTAAAATCGAGCCTATATGGCACAGTGGCAAAGACAGAGGCGGCTGCAGGATTACTCAGTTGGTTACAAATCGGTTTCATTGGATTGCATGGCTATGACATAATACATACACGTTGGAATTGCCGGCATATGCGGCGAACCTCACAGGCATGTACATATGTATGTAAATCGTTTAATCGTAGTTTTTCATACCACCACGTTGCCTTTGCAACGCAACGGGTGGCGTATATTGGCTCCGACGAAACTTTCAATGACCTTCGTGCAAGGTGACAAGAGCAGATGCCGGCTGAATGAAGTCCACACCCTTGCTATGTGCCTCTAACAGTATGCGCGTGAAAGAGTTGACACAATACACAATCCTATTTATTTCTGCTACACAAGCTTAATTTGTTTACCTTTGCAACGATAACTGAAAGCTTTTGTTGGCGGATTTCGCTTGAAATAATGTATAACAGCAGCGCTTTTGAGAATTTAATTTGTTTTTTGTTACAATAACTTCAATTTCACCTAATTGTTGTCAATTATTTTGAGTTTGTAAAAATCCGTATTTAATTTAACTTGATGACTTATATGACATAACAAACAAAATGTATAAGGCAGTGTAAAATGGCCGCTATCATGTCTGCATTCAATATGGAGCATTTGCAACGGATGCACTGCTTAATCGACGTAGTAGGACTGCTTCCGGAAAGCGGATTCGCTGGATGATAAAAAAAAGTACACACCTAAACTATCACTTTTCGTTGCACTTTTCCGTCCAAAATGGTAGCTGTACGTACTATTTGTGTATTTGTAAGGATAGTCTGCGATTTTCATTCTATAAATCGCACATAAGGGCTGAATTTCTTTATTCATTCTGAACGTTTGGAATAAACTTTTTTGTTTATTTATTCTTTAGAACGTTCCTGATGATATGTTAACGTATATTTCAAACACATTCTGTTTATTCCGGCTGTGAAATGAGATTATCCGGAATGTATAAAGAAACGCAGCCAAGGGTAAAGTGACTAGTTATCACGACAAAAATAGATAAACAAAATTCCTTAAATGTTATCGCCAGGGTACAGATTTTTAGGGCCTAAAACCCTACAAAAAAAGGCAAAACAAAATAACGAAATAGGCAGGAAAAGGACTAGAAATCGCAAAAAAGGCAAAAGAAGGCACTAAAAAAGTAAAAACCGAAAAATAATCAAAAAAAGAACAGCGTAAGAACGAGAGAGAGCTGCTAGTTTCTGCGAGTTTTTTGGGTTAAGAAACGCTTTCCAGCAGAAATTAGTGATAATTTGTGATAATTATCTGTTAAGAAACAAAGCTATTATCACTACCACCCAATTAAACACCATTATCGACGTTTTCGATATCATGCATATAACATGTGATCGATAAAGCAGTTGTGGTATTTAACCGGACCTTCTAAATCTGATTTATGCTAATCGGAAATTGAACAGCCGGCTCTAAGGACGCCCCCGCGCCCACGACAGTCGGGTCTACGTAACCGGAACGACCCAAATTTATATCTGGCCAAGGACTGTCACTCCAGCAACACTCCCCAAAAAGTTTTAGGGGAATTTGTATGCTGCTACAACAACAACATCAACAACGCCCCCGAGATCCTACCGACAGGCCCTGAACGGCATTCACAGGGAATCAGTCTCAAGTTATGTAGACTCCCGCCCTGTAAATGCCGTTCTAGGCACAAAACCACCGGACGTGGACGGGACAAAACTTTGTCTGCCTCGGGAGACCCGCACTACAATATCCCAACTTCGCTCTGGCTATTGCAGCTGGCTCAACAGCTACCTGAGCAGAATCAACGAGGATGTGCCCAACCAATGCCCGGCATGTGGAGAGTCGCCACATGACTCCCGGCACCTCTTCACATGCTCTGAGAACCCCACTCAGCTAACGCCCCTGTCCCTATGAACAGCCCCTCTGGAAGTAACACACTTCCTGGGTCTCCCCCTAGCTGAAATAGACGACAACGTTGATGGATGAACCGCCCCGAATGGGGCTTGGTAGCCGCTACAACAACAACGCCCACGCCATAGAGAAAATTATCAGCGTTTTTTACAACTAATACATATTTCTTTATTGTCTTGACAGCATTGTCTAATGTAAACACGCCGTTAGAGGTTAGACTCACAGCGTTTAATTAACTTAGGGTTTACACCGGACAATATTGTCAAGACAATTATGTCAAAATGATGTGCTTGTTGTAAACACGGCGAATTCATATTACAACAAACACGTCATTTTGACATAATTGTCTTGACAATATTGTCCGGTGTAAACCCTTAGTAACTTATTAATATTTTTGATAGAATTTTTACTTTCCCCAAATGCAAAAAACGAATTTCTTTATGGCTTACTATAACCAGAGCAAGTGCATTCACGTTTTTGTAAATGCGGAATTTCTTATCATAAATTACGTATTTATGTCCGGTGTAAACAAACACATATTCTACAGTTGTCACCTCTTTAAATAACAGCTGCCTGGCAGCACTATCCATAATCCACCGAAATCCCATGTGTCAGATAGAATTTGACAGCACTCTTGCTGAAATCCAATTGGACAAACTAGGTGCATTTGTCATCCGCTTCGGGACGATAATAAATACGAAAAAATTGCAAAAACTGCATGGTGAAGGTTGTTAAAAAGTCGAGATTTGTAAAAAAAATCATAAAATTACTCAGGAATAATATAAAAAGAAATTGTTAACAATTTCAGCAGCCACGAGTTGTGTGCTATGTGTGTTTGAAAATGTGTTCAACGTAGTCAAAGTGAAGTAAAAAAACGAAAAATTTTGTGCACCGCACAGTTTTCATTGTGGAGTAGAGAAAAAGCAAAGACAAATTCCAACGCAGCAAAAAGTGAAAAAGGCTGTGCTAATCAGTTAAAGCTGTTGCTGTTGATAAAGTAAAAGTGCGAAAAAAAAAAAATAAAATAAAATGCAATGATACAGTAAAGTGATAATTATTGCACCTCGAAGTCTTCATAGTGCCAGAGTGTGACACGCGTACGATTAGTATAGCTAGCTTGAAGATGGTGTCGCTGATTAAAAATCAACTCCTGAAACACCTTTCTATGTGAGTAAATTGATAAGCTACATATTATGTACTACAAAATACCCAGGTGTGTACATAAATATGCATGTACAATTAAGCAGACATCTTTCATTAAAAGGTACTGCATAGAATGCATAAAAAGCGTATGCGTATACACTATAGTCAATTGATTTTTCAGTACCCAAAGTCGCCCACATCAAGAAAGCAATAATGGTTATATTTGTTTTTTAATTTTATGGCGTTTTTTCATTGCCTTCACCTTAGTATTTGTGCCTAGAGGGCACTGAGAAGGCAACATTTTTCAATAGAAAAGAAAAAGTCATTAGGTTGGCTTTTTCTTTCACGTTTTATGATTTACCTGCCCGCCAACACCCATCACATTGCATTCATACGTGTGTGTATATCGGGGGTCTTGGTTATAGCTGGAGGCTGCTGTTACTATAGTGCTAAGCTAAGCGACGCTGTGTCGACCAGATATTCCTCAAGTAACTCATGCCTTCATTTGTTTTTCTTTGTCCATGTGACACCTGCTGCCTGAGATTTAGTGTATCTCGTTAAAGATAGTTTAAGGCCTAGACAATAAAAGCTGTATTGGTTAGGTAGCTACCCGATATTAAGCATATGTACTAGGGCTGAGCGATTATTCGATTACTCGAGCAAGTTGGTTAATCAATTATTCGGTTAATCAATTACTCGAGTAATCAAGATTTCGATTACTCAAAACGATGATTAATCAAGTTACTTGAAATATGATTAC